TGGGAATACTTTTTAATAGAAGTATGAAGTTAAATAACCAGGTCATTTAGAATGTTACACATATCAAGCAGAAGTTTGTGAGCAATGTAGTTTAGAGCTAAAGGCAAATAAAGTTTTTGATTTCCCCGTAATGTGTTAATTTTTAAAAGTGTGTCCAATGTGATATTTTTAGTACCCTCCCACTTTTGTTTCTCTTGCTTTTTGAAAGAGAAAGAAATAAAAAAATGTACGGAATTTTGTGGTTAGTTGGGTAAAATTGGTTAACTGCGAATTATAATCAGTGTTTCTAAATATCTAAAACATTTATGACAGTAAGTGAACTTCTAAGCTTAATTTTAACAGAATTTTATTAAAAATAATTTAGCAATTTCAAGCAGTTTCTAAAACTCATAAATATTTCAGATAAGTAATTATGAATATAAAACTCCAAAGTTTTCTGTGGTATTGTAGGCCTTCCCTTTGTTAACCATTGTTATCAATGTTATTTGAATACTAGGTATGTCAAGTTTTGCCTTCTCATATCGGATCAAAGACTGATTAAAATAGTTTTTCTTTATTGCTTCATCACTTAACATCTACAAAAATGTTGCTATGGTAAGGTTTTGATAGATGATCCTAAAATGTTTATACCAAATTTAACTCTATTTTGAAAAATGTAGGTAACCTATCTTTATCATTATAAAATACATCATGTTCTGTTGTGCTACAAAAAGGATTAAACCCATAGTATTAAGCATTGCATACTTGTTGAGGAATTTAACATTTTTGGGTAATTATGTCACAATTATTAAAGAGCCTCTTAACCAATTTCTTTCTGACTTTCTTGTGATACTTCAAATGGTTTCTCAGGACTATTATATAAATCAGCCTGTTGGTAGGTTTCTGCAGTATGCAGGACTGTGAGTTACCAGTTAAACTGAGGGATAATTATTTTCCTAATTATTGATTAGTTTAAGGTCTAATAATACACTCATTGAATGCTCATTCTCTTCTCTGTACATTTATCATTTGCCATTGTCTTTTGGGTTTATTTGGATTTTCTTATTGACCTGTAGGAACGAGTTGCTATCTTTAATTTGTTATATATGTTTTAAACTTACTCTCTCAGTTTGACCTTTTTACTTTATGATATCTTTTAGTTAAAATAAGTTTTTAATTTTAATACACTTACATCTTTCATTTTCCCTTTAAGTGCTTTGCATATTGTTTAAGAACTCTCTCCATAGTGCAGTCATGAAAATTTTTCTTTTATTTCTTCTAAAATTTTAAGGTGTTTTTTTGCTTGAGATTTAATTGTTAAACAACGTGAAATTGTGTTTTTGTGTATGTGCAGATACAAAGAATGGAATAGGTAGTTATTTTCATTTGTAAAAATAGAGAAAATTATTTTTCTCAACATCAGTTTTTTGCAAAATCCAGTCATTTCTTAGAAATCAGTTATATTCTATCTATCATATCAAGTGTTCATGATTATATCTATTTCTGACTCCCATCATTCCACTGGTTAATTTTATCTCTATTATAGTACCTCATTTTACTAAATATGCTTCATAATATGGTTTTTTAAAGTCTATTTATTTATTTTGAGAGAGAGAAAGAGAGTGCATGAGTGTGTAGGAAGGGATAGAGAGAGAGGGAGAGAGAGAATCCCAAGCAGATGGGACTCCATCTCACCAATTGTGAGATCATGACCTGAGCCAAAATCAAGAGTGGGACGCTAAACCTACTGAGCCATCTAGACATCCCCATAATATATTAAAAAAATTTTTTAACATTTATTTATTATTGAGAGACAGTGAGACACAGAGCATGAGTAGGGGAGGGGCCGAGAGATGGAGAAAGAATCTGAAGCAGGCTCCAGGCTCTGAGCCATCAGCACAGAGCCGGACGCAGGGCTCGAACTCACAAACCGCGAGATCATGACCTGAGCTGAAGTTGGCCGCTCAACCGACTGAGCCACCCAGGCGCCTGCCCCTCCATAATATGTTTTAATATTTGGTATGGTAGTTCCCTCTTTTTTCCTTTCTTATACTTCTTTGGCTGTTCTTAGTAGATATAGATTTCAGAATAAGCTTGTCATATTACATGCTAAAGCCATTGGGATTTCAAACAGCTGTGCATTCATCAGTTTTTTTTATTATGTAGATGAATTTAGTCTCTTCAGAAGTTTTTTTAGATTCCATTAAATCTATTATACTGTTAGCACAAGAAAGTTTCAGCAGTTTAGCAAATACTGAAACTAATTTAGAGGAGAGGATTAAGTAGGAGATAATGAGGAAGGTGGGCAAATTGATGAAAACCTGATGTTAAATTATTAGTTCTTTAACATATTAATATACATACAGTATTCATTTAACATATATCTGTGTGTATATAATTATATGTACATGTACATAGATATGGCTAAATATATATATAGATCATTTAGTACACATAAATAGAACATCCTAAGCTTTCTGCCCATTTGTATGTAATTTTCTGTTAATTGCTGTTCATATAGTTTTCCCAGTTTTTTTGTTTGTTATTTTTTACATATGTGCAGAAGTATTGATAAATATCTATTTTCTTTTATGTTAGTTACAATTTTTTTCTGCTTGTACTATTTTTAACTTATTTGCAGTACTCTTTCATAGAGAAATTTATATGTAAAACCAATCCATTATCTGACAAATTTTGTATTGTTTAACAAAATTTGCCTCATATCAAGATTATTAAAATGTTTTATTATTTCAGTTAACCTTATTTTTTTTACATTTGGCTTCTTCAGATCTGAAGTTTATTACCTTATGGTATAGCATGAGACACATACTTTTTCTCTTCCAAATATTTTTTAAATTATCCTAATATCATTTATTGACTTGTTCATCTCTCTTGATTTGAAATGTAAATTTTATTTTTTTCAACGTTTATTTATTTTTGGGACAGAGAGAGACAGAGCATGAACGGGGGAGGGGCAGAGAGAGAGGGACACACAGAATCGGAAACAGGCTCCAGGCTCTGAGCCATCAGCCCAGAGCCCGACGCGGGGCTCGAACTCACGGACCGCGAGATCGTGACCTGGCTGAAGTCGGACGCTTAACCGACTGCGCCACCCAGGCGCCCCTGAAATGTAAATTTTATAAAAAACTAAATTCTCATGTATATAGGTAATGAAATGATTACTTATTTTAGTCTTTTTCATATTTGGATAACAACATTCTTTTTCTTAAAAACGTTTTTTTTTTTTGATGTTTATTTATTTTTGAGAGAGAGACAGGCATAAGCAGGGGAGGGGCAGAGACAGAGGGAGATACAGAATCTGAAGCAGGTTTCAGGCTCTGAACTGTCAGCACAGAGCCCAACATGGGGCTCAAACTCACAAACCATGAGATTATGACCTGAAGTCAGATGCTCAACCAACTGAGCCACCCAGGCACCCCTTGGATAGCAACATTCCTATACTAGATTTCATCTTTCTATTTTTTTTAATATTGTGGAGAAATATACATATGCCTTGAATTTATTATTGTATTCCCTTTTGTTCATCCCAGTGTTTCTGTTATGTCTTAAGTAAATTTTCTTATTTGCTTTGCTCTAATATTTCCTAAATTATTTGTATAGTCTTTTTTGTTCTTCTGTATTTATAAATAATAGACCAGACTGATTACTTGTTGTGAGCATACATTTTTTGCTGGTTTTTCTTGTTGTTTTTGCTGCTATTGCTGTCATTTGTTTGCTTTTTAGCAGCTGTCAAAGTCGGCTTACATCAAAGGCTTTTATCCAGTATATACAAAATTATACTGGAGCTCCTTATAAATGGGAAGTAATATGCTTAGGCAAGAAAGTTGAGGGACTCTTTTTTTTGTTTACTTAAATAAGCATGCGTTTGAATTTGTTGTAGCACTTTAGAGTATTTTCACTCATTGATGAATCAGCCTTTGTTTTTCCTTACCCATCTGTTTGTTTCTGTGTGAGATTCTGCTAGTTATGTGGGCTCCGTTTTGTTTCTCCCTAGAACCACAACTTCCATTCTTAGACAGCCTCTCCATCTCAGGCAGATCTTGTGTGGCTAGCGAGTTCTTCTCATGTCAGTGACTAGAAGGAATCTTTTCAGCCATGTATACTGGGTTCTCAGAACGAAAAGCAATAAGACTAGTCTGCTTCACCATAGGCTGGCCTTTAGTTGTTTACTTTGATTATCACCTGCTTCTTCTCACATGCTTCTTCTCACATGCTGGGAATTTTTCATGAGCTCCACAGAGAAGGCTTTCACCTCCCCTGAAATGGTCTTCATTTTCCTCTTCTGAGTTATATTTTTCTTTGCTCTGTTTTCACTAGCAGTCCCTTCTGATTTCTTTCTATTTCTGGGAATTATTCTGAAGTATATGTTCCAGTGCTTTTATTGGCAAACATATATATTTTTCTCCAGAAATATTGTACAACATGGGAATTGAAGAGAAGTAATCATGTATGCCCAACCTAACATCTGGAATTAGAGATTATCTAAGAAACCCATAAAATTATGACTATGTATTCTTTTGTGTTTTTGGTAATTTGTGTCACAGCCCAAGATATTCTTAGAATATATCTGTAGAGCATGACTCCTAGCCTGGAGTTTATAGTCTAAAAGAGGGACACTATAGAAAACGAGATATTTGTGAACTTACCTATAGTTATGTGTTTTCCACTCTTTGGTAATATATTACAACTTAATGGGTATAATGCACTTCCCATTATGTGCAAAGTCTTCTGGGAGTAAGTGGCATTGAACTGGCCTTTGATGAAGGAGTAAGATTTAGAAGATGAAAGGTAAGAATAATTAGGTGGCAGTAATAATGAAAGGACTACGTAGTGGATGTAGAATACCTGGTTTAGAAATAACAGAGTTTTGTTTGACCTCATATGATGGGACATGTGAAGTGGAGCACTTATAGTTTTATCTGTGAGTTCAAGTATGAGTTTACTGTTATTTTTTGAAATGCGTAAAATTTGATTTTTATTGAGATCTTTTATTTTGACAGTTTGAAACTTCTCTTGAAGAATGGTAAGCTCCGTTCATTCTTTTTAAATTGTTTTTATGTTTAAATTTTAATGATTAATATGCTGCAGATGAGTTTTATTTCAAAAGAAACAGGAAGTTAAAAGCAGAGATTTTTGTATTTGATATTACAATGTATTTTTGAAAACATAAGAATTCAGATGTCACTGCAAATGGCAGAATAGGGACCTCCAGGGCTCTGTCCAACCACAAAGAAATGCTGATAAAAATTGGTCAGAATCGACTTTTGTAGAAATCTGAATTTAGTCAAAAACAACAGCCAGGGGAAGAGTTAATGAAGAGTCTGTTGCATTGCATTAAGAGAGCACTGTGGCACTTTAAATTGCCCATTTGCCATTCTAGTCCCCAGGTCAGTAGTGGCCATGAAGAGAGCAGCCTGTACTTGTGGTGTAGATTGCGAGTGTCAGAGCAAACAATATGGACCTTATTCTCAAAGAATTGTGTTTCAGCGTTTTGACCTGTCTGATGACTCCTTGAAGAACCAGCACAAAGACTTGTCTTTGTTTTGCCTGACTTGGAGCAATCACTCAGCTGGAACCGCTTACAGGCAGTCTTTACTGGAAGCATTTAAAGGCATATACTCACAACCACTGTCTGAGGCTGTGAATAACAGTGGGAACACTGCCTGGGAAAGAAGAGGTCAGCAAAAGAGATAGATGGGGGAAATAGGGTTCTTCAAAGCTGTCATATGTACTGGAGCATCCAGAAGTGCATGCATATGACCATTGCCAGACATATGTTCAGGGAAGATCCAAGAAGACCCTGACCATTTATCTCTGGCTGACCTTTAAGATCTGTGCAGGCAATAACTGAAGGTAGAGTTGTAAACAGCCTGGATAAGCATTGAAGGAATACATAGATTCAGTCTGCTAAGATGGGGAGAGTATTTTTTTTCTTTTTCTTTTTACTTTCTTTTTTCCTTTCTTCTTTTTCTTTTTTCATCTTCTTTTTCTTTTTCTTTTTTGACTCAAGATATTTAAGATAATTTGGACAAAACATAAGTTTACCAGTAAGCTAATGAAACATCTAGTTCAGTGGCCACACATGACAAAGAATACAGATATTACAAAATGTTTTTCGAAGAACTACTACTAAACGAAGAAAGAACAACAACCCACATCAAATAGCAACAACAAACTCAACAGAGGGAAGGTTATCTTATTTACATTTCAAATCAAACTATTTAAAATGTCCAGTTTCCTATAAAAACTATGAAGCAAGCAAAGCAAAAAAAAAAAAAAAAAAAAAAAAAAAAAAAAAAAAAAAAAAAAAAAAAAAAAAGCAAAAAAAAAAGAAAAGATAGTTTGTACCATTAACAAGGGGGGAAAAGAAGTTTTAAAAAATGGCCCCGAGAAAGCTTAGACATTGGATTTATTGGACAATAGCTAAATGAACTATCTTAAATATTCTCAAACAGATAAAGGAAACTATGAACAAAGAATTAAAACCAGGAGACTAATGTCTCAACAAATTAAGATTATCAATAAAGAAATAGAAATTGTAAAAAAGAACCAAGTAGATATTGTGGAGCTGAAAAGTACAATAACTGAAATGAAAAATTAGAGATGTTCATCAACATCAAGATTTGAGCAGTCAGAGGAAAGAATCAGTGAACTTGAAAATAGATCCATTGAAATTATTCAGGCTGAGAAGCAGAAAGACAAAAGAATGAAGTAAAATGAACAGAGCCTAACTGGTGTGAGGGACACTACCACAGATACAAATATATGCATAATGAGAGTGCAAGAGTAACAGGGAAGAGAAAAAGGGGGAGAAAGAATATTTGAAGAATTTTGGCTAAAAATCCCCAAGTTAGGAAAAACATGAATGTATACTTTTACTAAATTTAGTGGACTCTAAACAGGATAAACTCAGGGATCCACACATTATGGTCAAATCATTGAAAGCCTGGGACAAAGAGTATCTTGAAAATAGCATGAGAGGGGCGCCTGGGTGGCGCAGTCGGTTAAGCGTCCGACTTCAGCCAGGTCACGATCTCGCGGTCCATGAGTTCGAGCCCCGCGTCGGGCTCTGGGCTGATGGCTCAGAGCCTGGAGCCTGTTTCCGATTCTGTGTCTCCCTCTCTCTCTGCCCCTCCCCCATTCATGCTCTGTCTCTCTCTGTCCCAAAAATAAATAAACGTTGAAAAAAAAAAAAAAAAAGAAAATAGCATGAGAGAAGTGACTCATCATGAATAAGAGATCCTCAATAAAAATAACAGTCAGTTTCTCATCAGAAATTATGGAGGCCAGAGCATGATACATTTATTTCTTTTATTTCTTTTATTTTTTTTAATATTTTAGAGCATGAAAGAAGAGACAGAAATGGAGGGAGAACGAAGAAGGACACGCAGAATCGAAAACGAGCTCTGAGCTCGAGCTGTCGACTGCAGAGGCGATCTTGAGCTACAGCCGATCTGACCACCAGGCGAATGGATGCTTAACCGACTGAGCCACCCAGGCGCCCCAAGAGCATGATACATTTAAAGTGATGGAAGAAAAAATAAAACTGCCAAACAAGAATTATGAATCTTGCAAAAGTGTCCTTCAAAAATAAAGGAGAAAATAAGATATTTCCAAATAAACAAAAATTTGAGGGGCTCCATCTCTAGCAGAACTTTCTATCAGAAATCCTAAAGGTAGTCTTTTAGGCAGGAATCAAAGGACACTAGACAGTAACTTGAAGCCATATGAAGAAGTAAAGAACAGTGAGGTAGCTACAAAGATAGATATAAAAGTCAACATGAAGCCATTTTTATTTTGCATCTCTTTCATTTTCCTATATAATTTTTAAGATAAATGGATAAAATTATAAATCTATATTAATAGGCACATAGGGGAATGTGGGTGGCTCATTCGGTTGAGCATCGGACTCTTGATCTCAGCTCAGGTCTTGATCCCAGGGTCTTGGGATCATGTCCTGCATTAAGCTCCACACTGAGTATGGAGCCTGCTTAAGATTCTCTCTCTCTTTCCCTCTGTCCCTCTCCCCTGCTCCCACTCTCTTTGAAATTTAAGTGTTTGTGTGTGTGTGTGTGAATGTGTGTGAATGTGTGTGTGTGTGTGTGTGTATGTGTGTGTATAGGCACACAGTGTATAACTGTGTAATTTGTAAAAATGACAACACAAAGGCAGGGAGCATAACTACAAAGGAACAGAGGTTTTTTAATACTACTGTACCTACATTGATTTTAATCCAAACTTAATTTTTATGAAGTTAAGATGTTAATTGTAATCTCCAGTGAACCACTAAGAAAAATTCTAAAACCAAACCAAACCAAACAAAAAAACACCAACATAAATCCAATAAAGAAACTAAATACACTAGAAAAAAATCAACTAACCACAAAATAAGGCAATTATGGAGAAATTAAAGAATGAAAAATATTTAAGTATTATAGAAAACACATAGCAAAATGGCAAAAATAGTAGGTCCTTTCTTTTTCTTTTTTTATTTACTTAGAGAGAGAGTATCCCAAGCAGGCACCACACTGCCAGAGCAGAACCCCATATAGGGCTTAAACTCATGAACCATAAGATCATGACCTGAGTCAAAATCTAGAGTCTGATGGGGTGCTTGGGTGGCTCAGTTGATTTGCCTGTTTGACGTCAGTTCAGGTCATGGTCTCATGGTTTATGGGTTCGAGCTCTGTGTCGGGTTCTGTGCTGACAGCTCGGAGCCTGGAGCCAACTTCAGATTCTGTCTGTCTGTCTGTCTGTCTGTCTGTCTCTCTCTCTCTCTCTCTCTCTATCCCTCCCCTACTCATGCTCTGTCTCTCTCTCAAAAGCAAATAAACATTAAAAAAAAATGTTCAAAATCAAGTCTGATGCTTAAATGACTGAGCCACCCAGGTGCCTTAGAAGTAAGTCCTTTCTTTCTTTTTTTTTTTTT